TTGTAAGTTATTTTTAAAATAAGAAGCTTAAGTTGCTTAGCGTAAACCAAGGGAGTCAGGGGGTAATAGTTTCCTAATATAATGTTAAAACAATAAGAAAAAGAGATATGAAATTCCTCACCGTTTAGGTGGATAACACGATCTGGACTTTCACTAACTCTATCACCTAACTTGATTATTGGCGCTTTTTCAACTTCAATAAAACTAGTAATCAAATAAAAAAGACAAACAAACTCAATGCCTACATAATTATATATTAAAATGTAAGCGTAACAATTTATTTCATGGCTTTGTTTTATTTTACGATTCGTTCCTAAACACCGCCCCATACATTAACAACTCCGGTGACGTAACCTAACTGTGTCTTTTATTGTCAAATGTATTTACCCGCGCTTTTGTCGTACCTGTCAATTGTTTTTTTTTTATTTCCGAAACGGACTAAGGAAGAAGGTGGATGCAGTCAGTCAGTATAGATGTGAACCTGTTCGCGTAAAGTGCATATTTTTTTTTATTTTATGCCGTTTCGTAATTCGTACGTGTTCGGAGACGATTGGAGATTTTATTTTTGTGGTTTAAGATACCTAGTTTGTTTTTTGTTAAGATTTGTGTTTTGTTTTTTAATTATTGAAAATGAAGTATCCACGAAGGAAATTGTTCACTAAATGCGCTTCCGATTATGATTTTTGTGAGTATTTTTTTAATTATTTTTCCACAAAAGACAGCCTCTGTGTACCTACTTAAATAAAATAAGAAATTTATTTAAAATCATTTTTGGTGAAAATCTTATATTATAGAATTATTTCATAAATTATAGAATGCCCATTTATTAGGTATAGAAATGGCTTATTTGTAAAAATGTATGTTTGCAAAAAAGATGGATATTTTTTTATATGGACTCAATACATTTTACCTAACGGTAAGTATACAAAATATAATGGTTTTCGACACTTTAGAAAATAGAATTCGTGTACCTAATATTTTTCATAACAATAATTTTATAATCCTATAATCAATTAAAAATAAACAGCAATACACAAACAAAATCAAAAAGAACACAAACAAACTCCTTGATTACAAATCCGCATTACACTGGCTGGTTGTAAAACAAAAATAATCGCGCGCAAAATTCGTAAATGGAACGCGCGGAATCCGATCGGGCGTTAGTTTATTGCACAGAATATAAATGACTGCCATATGTCGTTTTCTGCCAATAGGGGCGCAAACATTTTTACTTAGAAATAAATCTTTATTAAGAAAATAATTCAAGACAAAATATTTATTGTGTTTGTGTGTATTTAAAACAATAGGTAAATTTTTGTGCAAAAACTGTGTTGTCTATAAGTAATATTTTCAAAATTAAAGTATGTTATACAAGATAATTATGTTCAATTATTTGTTTTCGTTTTCATATGAAAATTTAAAAAATACATCAATACAAAATGATTATTTAGGTACACATATAAAATTGTCTAAATTACCTAACATTTAAAAAGTTGTGCATAAATTAGTACCTAAAGTAGGGCAACGTTTTTTTGATTTAAAAAAAAAACATTACACAATTTTGAAATTTAACAAATCAGTCATACCTTTTTCTTGCTTTTTTTCTATATATAAAAAGGGTATTTATAACAAAAGACGCTATTAACCTTTCGTATGTCTTAAACGTGGATCCACGCGAGACACAATGAATTTTCTATTGTGTCTTATAAACCGACATTCAACGGGCTGAAGACCTATTTTTGTGTACCTAAAAACATCTACAGACTCCCCCCGTCCTGTGTGAAGCGAATATCAAACTTACTTAGTAAAGCCACCGTACCTTCTCCAGCTCAACCGGGGTTGCGGGGTAAGCGCAATGAGGCACCGCGACCTCGGCCCAGAGCAGGAGAAGGAACAGGGGAGTTTTTAGTCAGTAAGACTCTGACACTCCCTTCCGTCCGGCCCTGGGCGGGAAAAGTCATTTGATGATTTTCCGCAACAAAAAAAAACCTTCTCCTGCTCTAGGCCGAGGCCGCGGTATACCTATCTAGCCCCGCAATCCGGGAGAATTTAGGCAGCCCTGAGCTTTAACAAAAGCCAATAACATCGAGCAGAAAACGATGTATTTCAACGACTGGCTTTAATACGGTACTAGGTACGTTGCAGAACTCATTACTGGCACAGCTATTACTAGTACACACTCAGAAACCAGTAACACTGTTAATAAACAACTTAACAGTTTATCCGTTGGAATCAAATTTTAGGCATAATCCTTACAATAATATGAACTAGCTTTTGCCCGCGACTCCATTCGCGTGGAATAGTGACTTCCTGCAGATTTTTGGTATAAAAACTATCCTATATCCTTCCAAACTGTCTGTACCAAATTTCACAGAAATCGGTTCAGTAGTTTAGGCGTGAAGAAAAGACAGAGTTACTTTCGCATTTATAAGTTTGGATTATAAAGCTGTGTCTGGATCCTTTTTTTTTTTTTTGTTTGTGAGGGGAAAATCATCAAATGAATTCTCCCGCCCAAGGCCGGGCAGGAGGGAGTGTCAGACTCTTACTGACTAAAAACCCCCCTGTTCCTTCTCCTGCTCTGTGCCGAGGTCGCGGTGCCTCATTGCGCTTACCCCGCAACCCCGGCTGAACATCAGCCCTATAGGGCCCCGTTTGTGGTGGTCTATTGGCTCTTTGAGGCGCGCGCGGAACGCTACGCGCCGTACGCTCGGCTGTCTCTGGATCTACTGGTCCGAATTGAACCATTCTTTTATGTTTGTTAGTCCATTTATCGAAGGCTATAGGGTATCAAACATCACGCTGCGATATGTAGGAGCCGAGCAGCGGGTGAAACCGCGCGATTGTAACTAGCTTCAAATACTTAAATTAATAGCAAAATGTTGGTATGCGCATAACTCAACAACGGGTGGACCGATTTTGCCAATTATTTATTTATTTATTATGTTTTCGGCTTACTCACGTAATAATTTGACGAGATACTCGACTAGTTTCAAGCCATGCTAGAGGCCCATATTCATGAGCAGCATTCCGCGACACGCGACGCGGCGACTGTCGCGCTGCTACGCCGTAAGCCGAAAACATAATAAATAATTTAGAATGTCACACGAAAGTTATAATAAAAAATTCTTTTTTTGTTGAAAGATTGGGAAAAAAAACTTTTTATTAGCGAGATAGTTAGACCCGTGCGAAGTGCGGGCGGAGTGCTAGTTGTACATATAAACCTTCCCTTTCAATCACTCTATCTAATAAAAAAGCCGGATCAAAATTCGTTGCGTAGTTTTAAAGATTTAAGCGTACCTACATAGGGATATAGGGACAGAGAAAGCGACTTTGTTTTCTACTGGGAAACGTGTTTCTTTCTCTTTCTGTCGCGTCGCAACGGAGCAATTCCTGTCTTTGCCGATTTGTCACATAAAACGTTACCATTCTAAGTAATTTTATCATTGAATCAAACAGCTAGTAATACCTTGACATTAATGAAGAAAGCGCAACAGAAATACTGAATATTTACCCTTATTTTCACCCTCGCTGTACCAAGGAGGTAGAATTAATAAAGCAAAAATACATATTACCTACTAGAGGGAATATTTGTCATCGAGTCTGAAAACATCTGTAAGTATTAGCCCTCGGCACTCCGTTCTCTCGCCGTAGGTTTGAATTATTCATTCCGATGCGGTTTTCCCGCCATACGGCTAAAGCTTATGTCACACTGTAACGTTCCTTTACAAGCAGTGAATACTCTGTGATTCACAATAATTGGGTAGTTTCCTAGGTCACAAATAAATTATTTGGACGTTTCAATACCTACAATAAAATACAAAAATAAATATACTTTTATTCATCGATCGATCGATACACTAAGTTTTAGATTTTTTTTAGCTAATTATCAAGAAATAAGTAGGCTATTTGACGCCAAAATGTTATGACTCAGTTTTTCATACAAATTTCATAGAAAAGTATCGTTTTTGTTGTTTGGATAAAAGTATTGAATTTGACTAGTTGGAAACTACCGTATTGTGTAGTTTCCTATGTCACAAATAAATTATTTTACCTTTTCAATACAATGAATTAATAAGGTATAATCATAATTTCATTAATTGATTTGACGATTCCGCAGACGAGCTGTTGGATTACCATGGCAACAACGGAACGAGGGGATTAGGGATTTGGGGATTTGGAGATTTAGGGATTATAGGAGGTAACCTCACTTAAAAGGCGGAATAAAACGCTCGTCGTCAATTCTATTTGCAACCTAACCCTTAGTCTATGGTAGGTACCTACTGTTTTTTTTTGCATCACTGATGCAAAGGTAGAGAGCCATACAGCCTTATAAATATGCATGTAACATCGTTAACTTGATGTTAATTTTTGGAATGCGTAATGACGTCACTTTTTTTCACGTAGCGTAGGTCAGGGATGTTATTTTTTAATTCTAAAGTTCGTGAAAATGAAACTGACGAGTATAGAAAAAATTATTAATAATAAAAAAATAAAAGTTCTTCTTTACGTGTGTTAGTCTGTCCTCTAGTGAAGCTATTTGCTCGTTCCAAAGTGTAGATTCCTATGGAGAAGAAAGAGCAAGAAACTCCATGGTTACTCTTTTTCAATGAGTTTCAAAATTCATTTCTTTGATACATCATTTAGTCGGTTCTGTTATGAGAGAACTATTTATGTACTAGCGTAATATAACTCACATTTAAAAAAAAAACAGAACGTACAAAAAAGAGGGTAATTCAAAATTGAACCTTATTATTGAAGTATAATGTCTAAGATTCAAATTACTTATTTTTTTAGTTACGCCTCATTTCTATTAAGCATGTACAATAAATTATATAACCAAATAATTTAAAAAAGGAATTAATTTAGAACAAATATTTAAATTAAAAAGTCTCAAGTAGACCAGTTTGAATTGAATGAAATTGTTTTATGTCTAGCTAAGAATAAGGTTTGTTTCAGCTTGTCACAAGGACAGCGCTCGTCCGTTGGACGCGGTAGCCATAATGAAAGAAAAGAGTAAGAATGCTGCTCGCTCCAGACGAGAGAAAGAGAACGCAGAGTTCTTAGAACTAGCTAAACTTCTCCCTCTACCGTCCGCGATCACATCACAACTGGATAAGGCTTCCGTGATACGACTAACGACCAGCTATTTGAAAATGCGACAGGTATTCCCTGATGGTGAGTCCAGTGTTTATAGATTCTTAGACTAAAAACCAATTTTTAATTAATGAGTTTCGTGAGTTTTTGTGATGTCATAGGATGGCAAACGAGCAAATAAATGATTACCTGATGGTAAGCAATCACCATCCGCAACAACGAAAGAGTTACAAGTGCGTTGTCGACCTTTTGGAGATAAGGGATTTGGAGATTTTGAGATTGGGGCAGGGGAAGGATTGGGCCTCCGAAAATAAGAGAATCATTTTTGTCGTGGGTACCGTTAAAAATATATCTATTTCTTCACTACATAGTATAAAACAAAGTCGCTTTCGCTGTCCCTATATCCCTATGTACGCTTAAATCTTTAAAACTACGAAACGGATTTTGATGCGTTTTTTTAAAGATAGAGTGATTACATGTATAATCGTCCGCGTAAAAGTAGCCTAAAGCCCTAATTCCGGTGTGTATCCTATCATTATCATCATCATCATCATCATCATCATCATCAGCCTGTCATCGTCCACCGCTGGACGTAGGCCTTCTCAACCGCACGCCACTGAGCTCGATGTTCAGCTCTTCTCAAAAACCTAACCTGTTTATCCTATGCCTGTGCCGAAAATCATCTAGATCCGTCCAGCCGTTTTGGCGTTATTGTGTAACAAACATACAAAATGTGAAAGTTAACATTTATAATATTAGTAAGATGGCATCAATTAAATAGTGGAGAAATTTAGTGTCAGCATTGCGGCCTGTGAGTGATATATTTCAAACTCCTCTTTTGTCCAGGTCTAGGAGATGCGTGGGGAGCTGCACCTCCTCCTCCTCAGCCCAGGGAGCTGTCTATACGGGAGCTGGGCTCCCACCTTCTGCAGACCCTGGATGGCTTCATTTTCGTCGTATCCCCTGATGGCAAGATCATGTATATCAGCGAGACAGCTTCTGTACATCTTGGGTTAAGTCAAGTTAGTATATTTACCTGTAACTTTTGTTTTTATTTGATAGGTCGGCAACGAGCAGACGGATTACCTGATGGTAAGCAATCAGCGTCGCCCATGGACATCCGCAACAACGGAGGATTTATGTAGTACGTTGCCGACCGATTAGGGGATTGGGCCTCCGGTAACCTCACTCACACGGCAAAACAACAACGCTGTGGTTGTTTCAAGCTGGTTTGCTGTGAGGCCGTGGTATCACTCCGGTCGAGCCGACCCATTCGTCCCGAAGCATGGCTCTCCTACACTTAAAATCACAAATACATTTTGTTATTTTAAGAGTAATTTAAACTATTAATTGCCTAATTGCCTATGTTCTTCTGGCTCGAAACTATATCCTCACCAATTCTCAACGAAATCGGTTCAGCCGTTCTTGAGTTATGCACAGTGTAACTATTTTTAGACTTTCTTTTATATATTTTAATATTATATAGATTCTTTTTATCACAGGTAGAGTTAACGGGGAACTCAATATACGAGTACATACACCAATCAGATCACGATGAGATGACGACAGTTCTCAGTCTACAACATCCCCACTCCTACCAACCCCATCAGTATCCCAGCGTTGGGTGAGTATACCTTCATAACACAGACAGACAGAGCAGATGGATTACCTGATGGTAAGCAACGGTTGCTTAACACCAAAGGAGATACGAATACGTTGCCAGCGTTTTGAGGATAAGGCATTCGGATATTTAAGGATTGGGAAGGGATGGGGGGAAGGCTGAGGGATTGGGCCTCTAGTAGCCTCACTCACACGGCGAAACACAACGCTGTAGTTGTTTCACGCCGGTTTTCTGTGAGGCCGCGGTATCACTACGGTCGAGCCGACCCATTCGTCCCGAAGCATGGCTCTCCGACACGTATGATAACATGATGTCTAAGTGATCAATAACTATGATCATTGATTATTCAGACATCATTTTTATTAAAGAGTATAACACAAGGTTTGTTATGAGTCCAAACGCAGGGTTAAAAATAAAGTTCGTATAATCAAAGAAAACAGATAGACACAACAATAACTTAATCCTAACAAGAAAAAAGTACAATCACTCAACGCGGAGCACCGCGGAGGAAAATAATAATATTATGCGTCCGAATCACGCGGCGGTCGGGATCGGGACTCTCTTGAGCGAGCGAGTTGCGCGTCACGGGTTGCCGCGGCGCGAGACCGGCGGGGCGAGGGGCGCGGGAGTCGCGGGCGCGGGGATGCGGCCGCGTTTCGTTAGCCGCGCGGCGCGAACGTAGAAATTTTAAATACCCCGCGCTACAAGAGTATTTAATTGAATGAGAAATCTTAGAGTGGAGTAAATAAGATTTTAAATTTTCATAACTTGGCATCGCAGCAATAAATGCTAAACGAAACCTCCTTTCGTTGGTCGCATCATCTTACCACCAGGCGTGGTAAAGATCAAACCCCTTCCCATTTCTAATAAGTACAAAACCAAAACCATAGGTTACTATGGTTTTGTATTAGAAATGGGAAGTGTGGAGTTTCTTGCTCGTTCTTCTCCATATAGATATATAATATAAGTGTGGGAGAGCCATGCTTCGGCACGAATGGGTCGGTTCGACCGGAGTGATCCCACGGCCTCACAGAAAACCGGCGTGAAATAACCACAACGTTGTGTTTCGCCGTCTGAGTGAGGTTACCGGAGGCCCAATCCTTCCCATCCCCCAATCCCTCCTCAATCCCTAAATCTCCAAATCCCTTATCCCTAAAAGGTCGGCAACGCACTCGTAACTCCTCCGTTGCGGGTGTCCATGGGCGGCGCTGATTGCTTACCATCAGGTAATCCGTCTGCTCGTTTGCCGACCTATTAAATAAAAAAAAAGAGCAAACAGCTTCACTAGAGGACAGACGGACAGACTGACACATATAAAGTTAAACCTTATGATATCTTTTTTTTTGCTTGACGTTCAAAAGCGCCTGTTGTGGTCTACTTGAAATAAAGAATTTGATTTGAAAAAAAAATGATTATTTATAAAATAAAATTTGTTAAAGACAAAACTACTAAAGTATTTATTTTCAGGTACCCAGTCGGTGGAACGTGGGGTCCAACAGTGGACATCGAGTTCGAAAGGGCTTTCTTCATAAGAATGAAGTGTGTATTAGCTAAACGCAACGCTGGACTTACCACATCAGGGTATAAGGTGAGAAACCTTTTTTGATGTAAATTTTATACATTTTCAAGGTTTTTTTTAATATTCTCTACTTACAAACCTTTTCTGGACTTCCACAAATAATTTAAGACCAAAATTAGCCAAATCGGTGGAGGCGTTGTTGAGTTATAACAATTACAGCGACAAATGGCATTGATTTTCATATAGATGTGGATTTCCGCAAGGAAATTCTTTGCATTATCAAAAAAAAAAAAAATTGGTCCGTGTTTGAGATGGTGCGATCTAGTGAAATTGTATATTTTGATAACGCACTTACGACACGTGAGAAAATCTTAGAGTGGATCAACGTTTAAAAAAAAAGCCACCTAGTACACATTGTTTTATTTGTAGAATAGTGACTTCCTTCACATTTTTTGGTATAAAAACTATCCTATGTTCTTGTTCGAGTTCCAAACTATTTCTGTACCAAATTTTACAGAAATCGGTTCAGTAATTTAGGCGTGAAGAAAAGACAGACAGACAGAGTTACTTTCGCATTTATAATATTAGTTTGGATAGTTTGTATTGGCCGTTCCAAAGATTACCTCCTACATACAAACTTACAAATTACAAATTAAAATTCTTTATAATATTATTATACACAGACACAGAGACGCGATAATACATTAAAAAAAAATATCACACACAATACATATTTTCCCAAGCGACAATAAAAAAAACATTCCAAAATCAAATTCAAACAAATAGTTTTCTAAGGCGTTAAAACAATAGTGACACGCGTTGAATATTAAGGGTAGAGGGCGCTTTTGTCTTTTTACATCCGCTGGGGGTTTGTAATAGGGTAATATGCTATGGGGGAACTTGTTTTCTTAGAGGCCATGGTAATTGAGTGGTTTTAAAGGATTATCTGGCAATTGGGTATAAGGGTAACGCTCAATTGGAAAGCATAATAATATTAGTAATTATTATAAAATTAGAAATAGACCAGCTACTCTCGCGCGGTTTCACCCGCTGCTCGGCTTCATTTGATAGTAGAATTATGTTTTATAGCCTATAGCACTCAGGAACATTGTAGCTATCTATCAATGAAAGAATTTTGGCAATCCGACCAGCGGTTCACACAAAGAGTTGTTCCGTGCGGGAATCGAAACCCGCGACAAGTTGCACGGCAATTGCCCTGCCATCGCACCAACCGTGCAGTCAAAGTACTTATCGCCATAAATCAACTAACTCAACTAACCGATCACATCAATTGCAGGTTATACATTGCTCAGGTTACCTCAGAGCGCGGCGATTTGGTGAAGGCTGGGCGCCGCTCGGCCTCATTGCAGTCGGACACTCACTACCGCCATCTGCCGTCACAGAACTGAAACTACACTCCAACATGTTCATGTTTAGAGCCTCTCTGGACATGCGGCTAATATTCTTGGACGCAAGGTACTGTGAGAAATTCAATTGTTTTGAAAATTAGCAGACCAGCCCTGCTTCGCTCGGTTTTTGTTTTTATGGTATAAGTCGGCAAACGAGCAGACGGATTACCTGATGGTACCTAAGCAATCGGCGCCGCCCATGGACACCCGCAACACCAAAGGAGTTACGAGTGCGTTGCCGTCTTTTAGGGATAGGAGTTGCGGTTATAAGGATCGGGAAGGGATAGGGGAAGGGGAGGGATTGGGCCTCCGGTAACCTCACTCACACGGCGAAACACAACGCTATGAGTTGTTTCACGCCGGTATTCTGTGAGGCCGTGGTATCACTCCGGTCGAGCCGACCCATTTGTGCCGAAGCATGGCTCTCCCACACTTCGGATATCAGACTACCTCGCTGTCAGTCATTAAAATTTGTTTTGCAAGCGAACGGCCACGACACCGAAAATGTTGTTAATTCCCGCTATTCTCCTTTACTTTGCCAAAGTTTTCTTTCGTAAGAACCTTCTCCTTACAATAACGAACAAAACAAAAAAAGAATTAGCAAAATTGGTCCAGGCGTTCTTGAGTTATGCGCTTACAACACATTTGGCGATCCATTTTTATATATAAGAAGAAGATAGAAGAAGAAGAAGATTTGCTTCTGCACGCGGCTTCAACCGCATAGTATGTTGATTAAAAGCAGCCTGTGTTAATCCAAGGTTATTACCTATCTACACATAAAATTTTATCCAAATTGGTTCGGATTCTGCCGAAATTTTGCCGAGCGCGGTTTCATCCGCTGCTCGGCAAAATTTGATCTTAGCGTTTTATATTTTTATAGCCTATAGCACTCAAGTACATTGTAGCTATCTATCAGTGAAAGAATTTTGGCAATCCGACCAGCGGTTCCAAAGATTACCCCCTACATACAAACTTACAAATTTTATCTCTTTATATTGTTACTTAGTATAGATAAAAACTTATTTTTTTAGAGTAGTCCCTTTATAAACATAAATATCGATAAATAATAATAAATTCTAAAAAAAGAAAACGATTCGAGCCACAATAAACAATTTGATGCGAGTAAATAAAATCAGTGAAGTGCCGTAACAGCGCGACGCCTAACGATTTCACAGACGGCGCGTTGTGGGCTGTGACGATATCGATAACTTTTGTATCGATAAAGCTGTACTGGGTGGCCCGGAGATTAAGGCGCTCAGTACTCAACAATTAGGCTTTTTCCAGTTATGCGTAGGCCTACTTTCTAAGTTTTTTTTCGAGACCACTGACATACTATGACAGAAAACCCATGTGAGAAAATCTTTTTTGAGCTGGGGAAGTCATCAAATAATTCTGATCAGGCGAGTAGAAATGTCAGACTCTGACTGACTTATAAACATCGGCGCGTCTTCTCCTGCTGCTGGCCTCGGTACCTTATTGCACTTACCATGTATAAAGTTTTCGATAACTATTCAATATATATACCTACGTATTTTTTTACATAATTCAAGAGAATTAAAAATGCTAGAGGAAAAATATGACGTCACATTGTGTTATTTCATACAAAAATTCATAGGTAATGTCGTTTTTAACATTAAGAAAACAGTATTGAATTTGACTACTTCCTTGGAAACTACCCTATTCTATATTGTTATACTAGTTTATCTGTTTCAATTTTATTATAGCTTGCTGTCTATAATTAATCCAAACTAATATTATAAATGCGAAAGTAACAATGTCTGTCTGTCTTTCCTTCACGCCTAAACTACTAAACCGATTTGTGTGAAATTTGGTAGGTACCTACAGACATTGTTGGGAACTCGACAAAGGACATAGCGGATAGTTTTTATACCAATAATCTTCAGGAAGTCACTATTCCGCGCGAACGGACGTCGCTGGCCAAAGCTAGTAAAAAATATAACGTAAATATGTAATACTATATACCTATACCTACCTACAGTGATCAGTAAAATTCTTAAGTGAAGCAGTGACTTGTTTCTACGAACCTCAAATGCATTGTTAAGAAAACTTTACGCGATTCTGATTGCCATGAACTAATAAATGTTGAACTTGCGGTCGGAAGGTTGAGTCGCGCCTTTCCATCGCTTTCGACACGCTAACAAGACGAGAGTCTTTGCAGACGAATCGGACAGACGCGTGCGTTATGGCTAAATTGTTTTATTTTATTTAAAAGTGTTAAAGTCAAATAATTTATTTTAATTTCATTTCTTTTCTTTCTTTTTCTTTTTTTAAATAAAATGTTGCCCCACATTAGGATTATCTCCTGTGTCGTGGATGCCGTTACAAACATACAATTTCACATACACAAGACACCTAGAACCGGAACAACAATTTGTGGATCACACAAATATTTGATCCGTGCGGGAATCGAACTCGCGAGACGTTGCACGGCAGCCAGTTGCCCAGCCACCGCACCAACCGTGCAGTCAGAATTACCGTTACAGGCAATTTTTTATGCCAATCGAAGATTTAAAGATAAAAAAATCCGTCTGTCGGTCAGTCCTCTTAGTGAAGCTATTTGCTCGTTCCAAAGTGTAGATTCAAATGGAGAAGAACGAGCAAGAAACTCCATGGAATCTGATTGTGAATCTGATTTAAAAGAGTAATTTTTAAATCAGTTTCACAATGATTATTTGTTAGATTTTTATGTTGGTTCCAATTAGAAGGTGAGACTAGTGTAACACTCATGATATAATAAAATTTGTTCCAGACGTGTCGATTAAATAATAAAAATATTCAAACTTTTTTCGATTTACTAAAACATAAAGTTTTTTGTTGTTGTACAAAAATTGAGATTCCTACGATTTATATTAGAGCCTTCCTTATCCTTATATCTGCCTTCAATAATGTTTGAAAAGTAAACCTTTCTCAAACTACCAAATAACATACTGGCGTTACATTAAAAATAAAGTAAAAAGCATCAATGAGGAACCAATCAATCTAAATGAAATCAGTCTATCACAATCACAAAATTCATGACAGAAACAAATAACAGAAAAATATTAAAAGAAAATCACTTACAACAATTTGTGTCGATTGCTAACCCGATATCGGCGTCACTGGTAAACGCTTCAAGCACCGCATTGTTCGCTCAATACAGAGCTACGTCGTGTTTCCAAGAACTTCGTGAATTACCGCTTGTATCGCTCGCTCGCTAACTTTCAGCTATTAATTATTACCGGCTCATTTCCATGCCCATCTGGGACCAGGGTTCTAGAGCTGCACTCAAAATTTCATCGATATCGATCGTTTTGTAGCGATTTTTTTTTTTAATGTAATAAGTCGGCCAACGAGCAGACGGATTACCTGATGGTAAGCAATCAATGCCGTCCATGGACACCCGCAACGGAGGAGTTACGAGTGCGTTGCCGACCTTTTAGGGATTAGGGATTTGGAGATTTAGGGATTGGGGAAGGGTCCGGGAAGGGGAAGGATTGGGCCTCCGGTAACCTCACTCACACAGCGAAACACAACGCTGTGGTTGTTTCACGCCGGTTTTCTGTAAGGCCGTGGTATCACTCCGGTCGAGCCGACCCATTCGTGCCGAAGCATGGCTCTCCCACACTTAAATTAAGCGTTATTTAAGCGATTAATTTAAAAAAGCTAATAATTTTTAAATACTGAATTACGGGCATTCGTGGACCGCGATGATCGCTTTAATAACGTCATGTGCTTGGAAAACTTTGTTTAGTTGTACCAAAACTCTTTCACCATTGGAAAACCTACTTTTTAGACATCAACATAGAGTATTCTACAAAGTTTTCGCTAAATTAACTGTAGGAGGAGTAGGCTGCGCGACGTCGCCGCGTCCGCGCACGCTGCTCATGAGGAAGAAACCCTCTGTGGTTCGAAACTAGTAGAGCTTTTCTCAATATTTACACGTGAGTAACCCGCGAATTTTAGTTAGTTTAGTATGTCTCACGATAGTTATTATAAAAACATAGTTTTCGCTAGTTTCGTTGAGGTAGTATAATAGAAACTATCACCATTGGAACCTACGAAAATAATAAGAACCTTCTCTGGTTCTTCCACTAGAACCTTCTCCTGACAATAACAACCATTATAAAAAAAAAAAACATTTGGTGAAATTTGTCCAGGTTATTTGAATTATGCTGTTACCAACATATTTTGCGATTCATTTTTATAATAGGTCTTTACCAATAAAATTGCCGTTTTGCATGAAAAAAATTATACGATTTTTTTGATTTGAAATGCGATGAAAATGTAACACTAATCAATAAACAAATGACTACTTTTGGAAAAAGAATCCCATGTTTTTAAGACAAAATTAATTAGCCTAAGCCTAACAAAAACTATTTTGATTTAAAATGGCCAGTACTGCAGAACGGCAACTTCATAGGTAGGTAAAGACCTATTATTACTAGCTACTCTCGTGCAGTTTCACTCGCTGCTCGACTCCATTTGATTGTAGAGTTATGTTTTATAGCCTATAGCACTCGGGAATATTGTAGCTATCTATCAGTGAAAGAATTTTGGAAATCCGACCAGCGGTTCCTAAGATTATCCCCAACATACAAACTTACATACCTCAGTATGGGAATATTGGTCGCTTTGTCACCTAAGTAGAGCTATGTTTTGAATCTATCGCGCTATACCTAGAATAGTATTCAAAATACTAGAATTCTTTAAATAAAGCGACAAAAGTATCAAATTTCAAAACAACACCTGGGCCACAGATGTTGTAACCTAATACCACAGATAACATATTAGGAAAGAATGACAGATCATTGTTGATGACATAAGCGAAATCTATGGACTCTTTCTTGTCTATGGTTACCTTTTATAGTGATGCGACAATGTTATTGTCTTTGGTTTATAGTGAAGTGAGTCATTTTGAGTTTACATTTGAGTTACTGTAATGGATTGTTTTTATTTTTTTTTCGAACTAACAATTGTAGGCGTGAGTTTTTTTAATTGTGTGTTTAAAAAACCCTACTAGCTTACACCAAGAAAATAGTAAAATTAAAACTCAATAAAAATACTCGACGCGGAAATCGAATCCTAGACACTTTGAACCTAAATCGAGCGAACTCATCAGAATAGGGGTAATTTTGCTTACATCTCTCTACTCTGAAATGCAAACATAAATTGTACAAATCGAAACTTACACTGTAGACTTTATTTCTTATATCTTAAGGTTTAAGTTACCATACATTTCAATAAAATGAGCGGCAACCATAAAGTTCGCTAAGGATTTTGACCACAACTTTCTGCACTTGTCTAAATCCATTATTAGTTCCTATGGCTAGCAAAATAAGTTTCATTTTTGCATGGTTTTCAATAACTCCAACCGCAACATACAAATTGGCAAACGACTTTGGACTCCACCTTCTACGTAAATACTCGTAAAAATCCTCTGACAGCTGCTATAGCGATGTGTTAAGATTCATTTTTGCATACATTTTTGACAAATAAGACGCAAATATAAATTTGTACTGCACTTTGGACTCAACCTTCTACAGTTGACGAAATAATCTATTAGTTCTTATAACGATAACTTAAAGTTTATTTTTCCATACCTATGAATCAGTTCAATCGCAAAATATAAATTGGTAACAATTTGACACAACATTCTATACTTGTCAAAATTCTTTGTTAGTTCCTATGCAAGTGACTTTAAGGCTCATTTTACCGTACATTAATCTTGGTTTAACGGCAAATATAATTTTGTATTTGGTACGTGCTAAAGTGCTTGTGCGCGGGATAACTTCCGATTTGTCAGCGAATTTCAAATATTGCTATATCAACGAGATTTTTTTTTGTTTTTATAATTTAAACAAATGTGTAAATGTATGTGAGGTGAGGGAAGAGAGAGAGAGAAAGCATCTGCCGTCACTTTCACTCTTCCCGGGTCGCCAGATGCAACCATTATGACTTTATGAGACGGTTTCTGAGCAGGAGAAGGAACGGGGGGGTTTTTAGTCAGTAAGAGTCTGACACACCCTCTCGTCCCATCCAAAAAGGTCAATGGATGATTTCCCTTCTTAAAAAAAAATGAATCCAATTCCCATTCCGAAGCCTCAAATCACTTATCCTAGAACCCCTACTTTTTTACACATTCGTTGCCCCACACTAGGATTTTCTCCTGTGTAGTGGGTGCGTTTACAAACATACAATTTCACATACAAACCGCACCAAGACCCGGAACAACAATTTGTGGATCACACAAAGAGTTATACCGTGCGGGAATCCAACCCGCGACACGTTGCACGGCAGCCAGTTGCCCAGCCACCGCGCTAACCATGCAGTTGACCTACAAGATATCGGCAACGCACTTGTAGTAACTCCTTTGGTATTACAAGTGTCCATGGGCGGCGCTGATTGCTTACCATCAGGTAACTCCTTTGAATATTGCCCGTAGGTAGACACAGACTATCCCAAAATTTCTCCCATCGAACCGAAGACCCTTAGTTCAGCAGCCGGACTTCCAACCACTCCACCCAAGGGTATTTCTTACCCCTATAAACTTTAATTGATAATTGTTTAACGACGGATATCCGATACTATGTTGACAATTAACCTCCCTAGGGTTGAATTGGGGACGATAATACCCCACTTAGTAAAAGCTTTTGTTTTTTGACACCCCTGTATGTTGAACGTTTTTTTTGGACCCCCTGTACGTTGAATGTGTTTTTGAGGATGTTTGGCTGTTTTTATTTTTTTTTTATGTTTTAGAGTAGGTATGCTGTTTTTAGAAGTTACTTATATCGATAAATTGCAATTTTAAATGAATTTTAAAAAATGTGTGGACATCGTAAAGAAACCAGTTATATTTTTTAAAGCTACTTATATCGATAAATGGCAATTTTAATTGTATTTAAAAAAAATATATAGGTACCTAAGTGTTGACATTGTAAAGAAACGAGTTATGAAAAAAATAACGGTTAATAATTAAAACTCGTTATTCGTTAAACAAACAACGTTATCAGCGCAACGGTATTGTCTAAAAGTCTTAAAAGCGTTTTTGTTATGTTAATAAATTATTTAAAGTTGATAATATTGTTGACTTCACATCGATAGCGCGTTTAACTACATTGTAAAAACATAAAACTATGATAAGTCAAAGTAAATAGCTACTTCTGTCGTGTATTGTTCGAAGGTTAAAACGCCCATTTCTGATTTATGATGAGACACTTGACAATTACCAAATTGACTTTTTATGTGTGGGAGAGCCATGCTTCTGCACGAATGGGTCGGCTTGACCGGTATGATACCACGGCGTCACAGAAAACCGCCGCGAAACAACCATACTGTTGTGTTTCGCTGTGTGAATGAGGTTGCCGGAGACTCAATCTATCTTCCCCTCCCCCAATCCCCAATTCTCTACAAGCCTAATCCCCAAAAGGCCAGCAACACATTCATTACTCTTCGGCGCCGATTGCTTACCACGAGGCATAGCCGTCTTATGCCTTTTGAGCTGCTGATTATCATTAAAGCCTTTTGAGCTGCTATCGCTAAATTTTTAGTGAAGCGTGAAAATTAACGTTAACACTCTTTTGTCCGAAAAAAACACGGGTATTGTATACCTACTAATATTATAAAGAGGTGTAATTTTGTATGTAGGGTAATCTTTGGAACCGGATTTCCAAAATCCTTTCTTACTAATAAAATTATATTTAATTTGCGTATTTTAGTACTTTTTAAAATGCCGAGATACATTACTTTTATACGCGTGCGGAAGCTAGTCTATTATACTTTGATTTATAAAAACTAATCACCCTCTGTTCAGGCGACAAAACCACTTCTAGCAAACCATCCACCCTTTATAATTAGTTAACCCTTAACACTCAAAAGCAGGGGTGGCGCCCTCTGCGTCCTCTAGTTATTTTTGCAAAAGGTATTAATTGGCGGAAGTGAAGCGGGATATGTTTTTTAAGCGTCAACAGTTTTTACGCTTGAAAAACAATATGTTTGTTCGATCGAGTGTCGCTGAATAAGTGGGGTGGGTCCTTTTTTAGTACCGTTAAAAATGTGCTGAAGTTTTATAAAGGTGCAACTTCAAATTGACGTTTGTTGGTCAAGAATATTGAAACTGCTGGAGGGATTCTGATAAAAATAGGTATATGTAGACTCTTTTTTGTCAGAGGGAGCATAATTCTCTTACTGACTAAAACTCACCCGGTTCCTTATTCTGCTTCAGGCTGCCTTACCTTATGGCACTTGACCTGAAAAATTGGCTGAAATTCGGCCCTATTATAGACAGAGTTTCAACTGTTTTAAACTTCTCCGTGGTCATGGATGTTATGGATAGTGCTTGTATGATATAGGGCAGTTAAAGAACAGACGGTTCACCTGATGTTAAGCGATCACCGCCCATGGACACTCAACACTAGACGACTTACAAATGAGTTGTCGATAAATAAATGAATAGCATAATGTATTACAAATGTGTAATGTGTAAGCACATAACTCCAAAACGCCTGGACCACAATTGTGCCAATTCTTATTTTGTTGTGTTCGTTATTGTTAGGAGAAGTTTATTATGAAAGATAAATTAAGAAAACTAAAGTATTTCTCGAAATCGCTACCAGCTGAATACACCTGCGAAGCAAAAGCAGAGCGCTAGTCGTTTATAAACATTTATTATATATAAATCATTTATATATAATATTGCGTATATTTATTATCTATTTGTAACCAAAGATTACATTTAAGATTAGTTTATTTTGTTGTTCACAGAGTTGCATCGCTGACAGGGTACGAGCCTCAGGATTTGATTGAGAAGACACTGTATCACTACATACATGGAACCGATGTCTTACATATGAGGCACTCGCATTGTACGCGTGAGTATTCTCATCATCATACAGTTTAAAAGCATAGGCTAAAGCAGTGGCTGGGAAATGCGTGACGACCCTTTTTGTTCTAAGCCTTTATTGGTCCGCAAAATCTTTTTAATCGTCAATTTTAGGATTATATTCTTTTAGCACTTCTCTATCACTTATTTGTGAATGCTGGTTAACCAGTAACTGGCACTGGTGACTGTGTAAGTTTTGGACGTAATATAGGCTCGACTGTACACTAGTGATGTTGGTAAACCTTAATAAATCTGCTCTGAATTAATTATTATGTTTTCGGCTTACTCACGTAATAATTTGACGAGACACTCGACTAGTTTCAAGCCATGCTAGAGGCCCATATTCATGAGCAGCATTCCGCGACACGCGACCCGGCGACTTTCGCGCTGCTACATTTAGAATGTCTCACGAAATTTATAATAAAAATCTGCTCTGAATTAGAATTTAATTCGATCTTACATTGAACAACAGCCCAACATCCAACCACTGCACTAAGTACGCAGTGCAGCAAAGATCTTCTAAATATCACAAAACGGTACAAAATAAAATATCTGAAATATTTCTTTCAAAATTGCAGTGCTAACAAAAGGGCAGGTCACGTCCAGATATTACCGTTTCCTCACGAAGAGTGGAGGCTGGGTGTGGATGCAGAGCTACGCGACCATCGTCCACAACTCGCGGTCCTCGCGGCCACATTGCATCGTGTCCGTTAACTATGTTCTTAGGTAAGATAATACATGTTAAGTACAACATTATTAAAGCTCATGTCTTGGGATCTCTTGCTTACAAGTACATGGAGAAAGTAGAATTATTTAAAGAAAAGTGTTATGAGTTTATTCCAAGGGTTGGATAAAATAAACCATGGCAAAGCTTTGAACTGAATCTGTGGTGTAGCTTGGCCGTTCATTTTCTATACTAATATCATAAATAGGTAAAATTTGTAAGTTTGTATGTAGAGGGTAATCTTTGGAACCGCTGGTCGTATTTCGAAAATTCACTGATAGATAGTTAAAAGGTTCCCGAGTACTATACGGCAAAAAAAAACACGCTACGATTAAATGGAGCCGAGCAGCGGGTGAAACCGCGCGAGGGTAGCTAGTATAACATAAATGTATTGTGAAATTGCTTGAAAAAGAGTACCTAACGATGGACTTTCTTGCTCGAGTTGTTCTTCATTGGAATTCACACTTTGGAACGAACAAAATAGCTTTACTAGACACAAGACTGACAGACTGACACATAAAGTTGAAGATTATGATAATTTATTTTTGGTTTGAAGAACATCTTATTTACAATTACCTTCTGTAAACAAAAAATATTACCTTGCATATCTTCGGCTAGTTTTTTAAAGTTAACAGAAGAAAATAATTTAAAAGTAATTTTCTCTTACAGTGACATAGAGGAGAAGCACCTAATACTAAACATCAGTCAAGGCACACCAAAGCACGCGCCAGTAGAGTGTCCCACGCCGTCCCACGTTCCCACCACGACCACATCCCCACAAATGCCACACGTGAGACACCCGGAGAAAATTCCAGTTCCCGTCGCCGAGAGCGAGTATAGCGACTCAAGTGGGGGCTACAATTACCCAGAATACATCCCAGTCATACCACCCTACGACACACAAGAAGAATACCAACAACAAAACGGATCTTATCAGGAAATATTCTACGAGAATTACACAGATACAGGAGAAATATTACCAAATTACGTGAGTTTTCCACAGAACCAGCGGCCGTTCTCCGCCAGTTCTTCATCATGCAGCTCAATTGAGGGTCCAGAGATACCGAACCAGTATAACTATACTAACTTAATATCGTTCTATCATAACCAGAATCAGAATGGGAGGCCTGTAGGTGAAAATTTTGGTGGGACTTTTGGGAAGATCACGCCAAGTCCTGCAGTGCAGGAGGGCGGTTATACAAGTGTGATAGTCGATAATACGCAACAGTTTCATCATCATGGTGGGGGGGTTAACGAGTTTGTGCATTGACAGACCTAGTGTTACATTTGTGTAAGATTTAATGGTTCTTTTATATGAACTGTGTGACCACGACCGGAGTCGGTCTTAAGGTCATTTTACGGCTGGATTTCGTCAAGAATGTTTTCCAAATTGGATGTGTGATTTAATTTATATTATTATGTTGTAATTTATATGTTCGTTTCGCTAGTGTGTGCGATAGAAATGTCAACAATAGATTTTATAAAAAGAGAAATGGTTGAAAATGTTTTGCCGAAAATTCAAGACTAACCGATTTTTGTTAGAACTGTCAGCCTTGGAAGTTAACATAATAAGGTATCTGAATCAATAAAGTTTCTTTGATAGATTTTTAATCTTATTCAATTTGAAAAGAGTTGAAAGTCAGCCTGTGCGTATAATACGTTATTATTTTCTAAGACTGCTTACTGTACTACTCAAAAATACAGACAAATGTGAAGAAAAACCTCGTTGTTTTGTGATGAAAATAACGTTTTAACGGTTGAATAACTATAACCTGCAACCGTTATTGTAAAGTGTATTAATAAGCAAAATTAAATTGTAAATAAAGTGTAAATAAAACATAAAATAAATTAATTTTAAGCTACGTAATTGTAAGAAAATGTAATATTCTAAAAGATAATTCTCAAATAATTAAAGATTGACAAGATTTATTATGATTCATTTGGTCGTCAGCCATTGTTTTTATTATTCCCGCGCAAAATAAAAGTTTAATTTTTCATTACATCGTATAGCGAGTCACTAATTTATCAGCCAAATTGACTTTTCAAAACTTTTTTAAAGCCGTAACTAACATTTTTTGTATTGCAGCGACTTTGTGTGCCGATTTTAAAGAGAGTATTGAATAAATATCTGTCAATAGGCGTGGTTAGTAAAGATCCCTCCTCTTGGCAACGCCCCAAATGACGTCATGGCTCATGACGTTCGTGACTCATCGCGTCAGAGATAATGACGTACTGAGACAGTATGTATATGTATGTGTATATGTATATAGCATTATAAAGGACAGCTACCACCGCGCGATCTCGCCTGATCTAATAACTAGTAGGTAAATTAATGGTTATCTCTCGATATCTCGAAAATATTATTCTAATACGAACCACATGAACCATGAGTTTGAGAGTTTGAGTTGTTAGAAAATACTATTAGACCTTGAGACCGATATTCTAAATTCGTTGTTTACGAAAATCGGTAAATTTTAAATTATTTTAAGCCACAAAAATTAGGCCGTTCGTTCAAATAAATTTCGTTATTCAAGTGTATAATTTTTTTCTTCGCCCTGGATGCGATTTCACATACACATTACATCCAGAACCCGAACAACAATTTGTGGATTACACAAAGAGTTTTTCCGTGCGGGAATTGTAACCGCGACACATCTTAGTACGACAGTCGGTTGCCAGTCATCGCGTCAACCACGTATCGCTAAAACTAAAACGTAAAGATTTGAATAGAAAAAAGGAATTTGAACGAATAAATTAATATGAAAGGAATGCAAACGAGCCAAAATATTACCTAATGGTAAATGGTACAATGCGTTGTAACTGTGTTTATTTTGTTTTAATACATTTATTTGTCTGATATATATCTTTATAATCATAATCTGTAATCCAATATTAAATCTGCTGTGTTAAAGTCACAATAAATCTTGTCAATTAAATTTTATTTTATTCTATGAACAAATTATTTATGTGCCAGCGTGTCAAGCTACTCCCAAAATGCCATTTAATTTTCAGTTTTATCACTCAAATGTAAGGTTGAAAGTATAATGTAGAAAAAGGAAATTGGGGTAGATTGACGCGCTGGCGACTATGTTAATCAGGTACTAGACAATAATAGCTCATAGTTTGTATATTTATATAATTATTTGTAGTTTAAAACTATTGTTTCCTTTGCTATATACCAATTGCAAAAACATTTTTATCGAATCCGACACTGGTGGAAAGGTCAGGGTTTTTGACAAACGCATTTTATTATACCGCCATCTATTGGCTTGTTCGTCAAACAGTCATTACAAAGCATATAGCGAGGAAATAATGGTAAATGAGGCTTAATTTCTTTGACATTTAATCTTAATAACGAATAAACTGTAAAAAGACTTTGTGAATTGAGTGCCATTTTACTGGAATTAACAAATTGTAAATATTATCTATAAAATAACGAAATACGCCTTTTATTCCCGCAATTTTTAAATATTACCTATATACAGCAGTATATAGGTAATATTTACTATGAATATATTTAAAACCTGTGTTTAAAACAATCAAGGAATCGAAAACGACACATCTATTAATAAGTACACAAAAACGTCACATACAATTATAGCGTTATAACTACATACCTAATAATAATGTCAATAACTGTTATAACCAATAACGCTTTCTGACAACGGTTGTTATGCATTGACATCATTAGAAAGGCCAATATTGTACTTCACTAGTGAAAAAAATGGCTACCAAACCAATTTCTTTTTTATTACGTAAATAAAATTACTTTTCTGTAATATTTATTCAGTTTGTAACTGAGATTGATGGCTAATCTCATTAACGTATCTGTCGTTTTGGCTACTAAACGTAGATAAAGGCTACTTGACAACTAAAAATATTCGATAGGTATTTAATTTGAATTTGTTACAATCGAAGTTTTCTAAGGGCTAATTTTTCAATAGTCACTTAAAAAAATGTCATCTGAGGAATAAAATTGTTGCCGTCACTGTCTTATACAAACATTCTGACGCGACAGCATCATAATTATTCCTCAGGTTTGAAAACTTTTATCTAACCATTGAAAAATCAGAGCCCTAAGTCAGTTTAAGAATTTAATATTATATTATGTCAAATTTCTTTATCTATGTCAAAGTCCAAGGACATGGCCGGAATATTGTGTAACTAGAGAGTTTTATAATATGAACAAATATGTACCTAATGTTTATTTTATTTTGTTATTTTAAAGCGTCTGCTAATACGTAAATCGTAGGTGAATAATACGATATTGTTTGTGGTAAGCCACATTACGAAAAACTGTAAACGTTTTTAAAATTCGAATAAAGAGGTCGGCGACCGGCTTCTCAGAAAACGGCAGTTTTAAACTACCACGGCGTCGTGTTTCGCCGTGTTTGTGAGTTGTGAGTGAAAGCCCAACAAAGCGCTCGGTTTTCTGGATGACATGAATTGCTTACCATCAGGTGATGGGTGACCGTCTTTAAAACATTCCGAACATCTGTTTTTACACCCCTATTCTGTATCTATTACTGACTTTAGTTTTTACATCACCAGAGAGCGCTGCAGTGCAGTGTGGATTAAAATCGACTTCTTACGCAATATTAACGAAATAGTAATGTGGCTTACCCTTTTAAAATCTAGTTGATAGCAAAATATTTCGGTATTCAACAAACAAATTGTGATATTCCAAACATATTACTTATTTATGATATGAAATAAAGTGCATTGAATTGAATATTCCTATATTTTCGTTTTATTGTTTTTTCTTTACCTGCTTGGCTTCTATTAGTCGTAGCGTGATGTTTTGTATCATCCTCGACAATTGGATTAACCAAAACAAAGATTTATTCAATTGCGATCTGTAATTCTTGAGACTAGAACTAGTCCAGGGTCGATAATTTTTAAAACCAAAAAAAAACATAATAGGATGAAACCCATTAGAAAAGGAGGGAAATATGATAAAATTGAAAGAAAAAATAATTTACGGGCGATCTGAGCTTGGGAAGGGGGCGGGGGGAGTAAAAAACGGTTTTTCTCGATTTCCGGCAAAACTAAAAGTCCTATCGAAAAAAGTCAAATGGAAAAGTTGTAGATAATAAAAAGATCTAAAACTTTTGTATTTACACTTTTTTCACATAACCTCAAAATTTATGTGAAAAATTCAAAAAACCAAGTTTTTGGTTTTTTATTTTTATCATATACAAAAAAATTTTGTGAAAACCTATCTTTTTACGTCCTAAATACGCTGTAATTTATTTGATTAAAAATATTTATATTTTTACCTTATTTTAAATTAATATCGAAAAGACACCCTAATTTTCAATCGAAAATTCTGTCCTAAATAAGGACATAAAAAAGTAGGTTTTCACAAAATTTCGTTAAAAAATATTTTTTTTGTAGAAGATAAAAATAAAAAACCAAAAACTTGGTTTTTTGAATTTTCCACATAAATTATGAGGTTATGTGAAAAAAGTGCAAATACAAAAGTTTTAGATCTTTTTATTATCTACAACTTTTCCATTTGACTTTTTTCAATAGGACTTTTAGTTTTGCCGGAAATCGAGAAAAACCGTTTTTCACCCTTAAAACCTCACCCCCACCCCTTCCCAACCTCAGATCGCCCGTAAATTATTTTTCCTTTCATTTTTATCATATTTCCCTCTTTTTCTAATGGGTTTCATTCTATTATAATTTTTTTTCACGTTTCATTATTTTTGAAGGCTTCTACCCTGGTCTAAACTTTCAAACAGGCTAATGAAAAGATTTAGGTAACAAGATGAAGCTACTAGATTTAGCCTATTAGCGACATCTATTGTCGAATAGCGTAACTAATGAGTCATTCTGGGTTATAATTTACACTTTTATAGCTTGTTCTAAAAACATGCGGTTTTATTTCTAACGATACACGGCTTTACATTTGTTTGTTCTTAAATATACTTGACTATCAATATTATATTAATTGTTCAACACTTTTGTAACTCGTCCACTCGTTTAGTTAGTACGCCAAACCAGTAATAGATGACGTTACTTATTTACATAACTCAATTTTTTTTTAATGATAGGTAAGCAATTTTCTCATATTTTAAATACACATACTTGCTAAATTACGCAATATAATAGCTATAGAAACGAAACATAAATGTATTTCAAATATTTGGAAACCCCCGTCAGCAAATTATAAATAAAAATCATTTTTGGAGGTAGGAGTTTTATACCAACATAACAATTCAGTTTAACGTGGCGCTAGTTTCTTCATACGAAAAAAGTTTTGGTACGTTTTTATTGAACGACCATTAATTCCGATTTTCGCCACCAGCAATAATAACTTGGTAGCAGTGCTCACAATCTATTTATTTGTTCTTTTGTTTAAATTGATACTTTATAATCGTAGAACTCGAAGAGAGTGGTCTTGTAGGCAAATTACGTAATTAATTCACTGTATTTTATAAAGAAAACCTTTTTAAAGTGTCTGAAAACTTAATATCGAGAAGCAGCGATGAAATTGTAAGTATTCATTTTGATTTCCAATTACGACTTGTAATAATAATTAGTTAATATTTAAATTAATAGTCATCCACGTCGCCATTTTTATTTTGTAGCGTAATTTGTCCTAAAAATAATTGTTTGAGGTTTTGTGATAATAGATATTGTTGAAGAATTTATATTATCATCGTGTCAGTCATCCTAAAAAGAGATTAAATAATAAAAATATTGCATATTATCGATTTTTTTTCGTTTTTAATGAGGCAAGGGGTTAAGTATCTATTTATAAAATATCAAATACCATGCTCAGATCCGCCCCTAAGGCTACTCACTGACCCAGGCCTTTTCATTGGGGTTAAAAATTATCAAATGGCTTCTGGGCTTTTCACAAAATGTGTCAGACTCTTACTGGCTTAAAACCTCCCGTCCCTTCTCCTGTTCTGGGCCGAGGTCGCGGTGCCTTATTGCGCTTGCCCTGGGCCTAAAGAAACCATTTTTTTTTTTGCTTGATATCCATTTTTTTGGAGGAGCGAATATCACATTCTCCTGCCTTGGATGGGGCGAGAGGGAGGGCCTGACTCTCTCTGGCTAAAACCTTTTTTTCATGTAAGTAATAGGTCGGCAAACGAGCAGACGGATTACCTGATGATAAGCAATCAGCGCCGCCCATGGAACGGAGGAGTTACGAGTGCGTTGCCGACCTTTTAGGGATGAGGGATTTGGAGATTTAGGGATTGAGGAGGGATCGGGGAAGAGGACGGATTGGGCCTCCGGTAACCTCACTCACACGGCGAAACACAACGCTGTGGGTTGTTTCACGCCGGTATTCTGTGAGGCTGTGGTATCACTCCGGTCGAGCTGACCCATTCCTGCCTAAGTATGGCTCACTTAAAAACCTATACCTACCCTGTTCTTGCTACAGCCGGGGCCGCGGTTTTAATTAGACCTCTTGCTTGGCAATCACTCTTGTTGTAGTTCTATTAAAGTAATTTTGATAAGCGATTAGCAAAGAAAAGGCGTCGTATTTGTGCTCCTTTAGCGTTGCGGGTATCCATGGTCAGCGCCAACCGCTTTCATGTCAGTCATAGTCAAAATTATTTATTCCAACTAAACCATTAATAGGTAATTATGAAGCTAGGTGCTAGTTAGACCACTTATGGCTCTCACACTTAAATAAATATTAACTTTATCTGTATTTTTTTCCAGGACGAATGGAGGGAGTAAGCTTTACCTGCCCAAAGTGCAAACTGGTGATTAACGAACGAAACTTCCAAAACCTACAAATGGCGGTATAATCAAAACTATTTTACATCGGTATCGTCTCGCGCTAATCACCAGCCCTTCTGCCAAGGTTGGTGATTAACGAACTTTTGATGAGACGGCCAACAAAGCCCATTTCCAGATCAGCCCGCTTTTCCTGATCAAGGTCACAGCAATGGTGACTGTAGGATATTGAATCTCCAAGCTGCGAAAAGCCAATAAAACCGTCTCTGGCTAAGTCAACAGCTGCAAAAACACCAAACACGGTTTGGTCTGGAGCTGAAAAATACGACATGACATACATATACCCAGTATAGTACAGTCATAGCATGAGTAATTATACCGTCTGCCAAGTGTGGTGATTACGAAAATAACTTGAGATGGCATAAAAACTACATTCCTGATCACACTGCCATTGTTGGTCGTGGTAACAACGTAACAGGGACTGTTAAGAACCTTACCAGGCCCCCTTAGATGATCAGCTCTTCGCATCCAACCACTGCCAGCCACTCAATGGATATCTTTTTCGCACCTATCTTGAGGAAACCATACATAAGGTACGTTTATGAAAAAAAAATCAAGTTTCACGGCACACGATCATGATAGATTACCTGATGGTAAGCAATCGGGACTCTTGCAAGACCAGGCGAGTTGCAAATTAGTTTTGAGTGAGTCAGGGAATTGACTATTGTGAGATTTGGTGATTTGGGATGGGAGAAGGAAGGATTTGGGATCCGGTAACCCCATGAGGGCGTCCGAAACTTGGTAGGTACTAACGTGACTTTTTCCGAGTTACATGTACTTTCCATAATTATTTAGGGGGAATTATAAAATGAGCGATTAAAAAAAAGCTTTGCGATTGATGATGACATACTGTATTACCTAATAAATTGAGCGGAATGAATTTGAGTAAGCGAAAAATACTAAAAAACTAAACTAACGACAAATATTGATTAATAATAAAATCCAGAACGAGCTTACAAAAAGTGGGTTGTGATAAATCCATTTCATATATTAAAAGTTTATCCGAGCGACTACATTACTAAGTGAGCTACTGGAAATACAGTAATTGCTGCAAAACCGACTTCATGTAGTCTTGTTTGTCTTACCCCTAGAGCGTTATTTACCAGGCGAGGCGGCCCGCGGGCTGAGGAGCAGGCGTCTGCGGTGGTGAGTGAGAGCCGTCTGCGACGATTAGAACGCGTGGGGCTGCCGGAGGGCCGCAGCGCCGGAGCCGTCACAGAAACCCTGCCTGCTGCATGCTGCTTGCTTGCTTATTATGATAAAATGCCGCTAAGTAGAAAAAATATATTTGCCAAATATTGAAAAATGCAGGACGTAACGTTGACACTAAAACAAATATTAATTCGCTCAAGTTTTATGAATCTGCTCATTTTGTATTTTATTTTAAGTAACTCAAAAATTAATATTTGTAAGATACTATTCTGTTGATTTTTCGTCACTTAGGTACAGTCAGTCGCTCACTTAGTAATTACATAACCCAAATTAATTAATTTTGACACTTATAAGTAATAGTAATTTACATTCACTCTTTATATTGCTACCCATTATTTAGACACCTTTAACATACGGTGAAGGAAAACATTGTGAAGAAACTTGTACTAATAATTTCTAATTATAAGTTTGCAGCTAATCCGCCTTGACCAAGCGTGGTGATTAATGCTCACATCTTATCCGTGTTAGAATTGGTCTTTGCTCAGAAGTGGGCATTGATAGGCTGATGATGTGATATTAAGACATTACAAACAAATATTTTTTTTCATTTTCAGATCCTGTATAAGAATCCATTTAAGCGGACCCTAACGAAGCAGAAGACGAAAACGATCCCCGGGTCTTCAAGAAGAGAACCTGATCTTCAAGTCTTCGCAACGTGCCACTGCCAGATACACAAGGAATATCGTCAGTCCACCTAGCTGGAGGGCGCCCTACACTACGTTTGCCTAGACGTGGTCTCCAATCTAGCACGTCTCCCCAACGGTCACCGGGTCTTCGACAAAAGCTGATATTTACATCAATTTGTTTTTATAATAACTATCGTGAGACATTCTAAATTAACTAAGAATCGCGGGTTTGTCACGTGTGTAATTGAGGAAAGCTCTACTAGTTTCGAACCACAGGGGGGTTATTCCTCATGAGCAGCGATGGAGGCGTCAAGCTGCGCGACGTCGCCGTGTACGCAGCCTGACGCCTGCATCGCTGTTGATGGTTACGCTGCGGCAATGTTTACGCTAACCGGTAGGTTGCGCGACGTCGCCGCGTCCGCGCACGCTGCTCATGAGGAAGAACCCCTTTTTGGTTCGAAACTAGTAGAGCTTTTCTCAATTACAAACGTGAGTAACCCGCGATTATTAGTTAATTTACATCATTTTTTTTAAATATCGGTCACTAATTACTAGTCACCATATATATTGTAGACAAGTATATATACATTAGTACTAATACATACGTATGGAAGTGAATGTTAGGTTTGGCGTTACGTTAGAAGTTAGAGTGAGAGGGGGATAGGTTACGACTTCCCTCTCACTTGCACAATTCCTTTTTTGAATTCATCATTCGTATTCGTGTTTTTAAATAGGTAGGTAAATTTATTTTGGTTGTTTAAGAGAGAGCTGTATGAACAACACTATATATATATTTGTATTGAAACAAATACTGCTACTAATGCCAAAAAGAAGGAAAATAAAAAAAATGTAGGTAACAGTGGTGGTAGATGAAAGTAAAGTTTTCACTGATCCATCGTCAGTTGCTTCAAAACACTGTTCTCTGGTAACGGAATAACCAGTTTCTCCCTCTGAACCTCCTCCAGCTGCCAGGATAGAGACTGCAGGTGATGCAGAGAGGGATAAAGACTACGGCTTCCCACTCACAAGCACAGCATCCATTGTAACGATGGTCTCATAGCACAAATATTGATGTAAATCCATGAGGGGGTTCTAACACAAGACGAGGATCTCGACGGGTTTCGTAAAAGTTTTTTTACACCGCCGTTCGTACTGAAAGACAATAATTAATTAATTGTTCGAAGTATTTATTTAGCAACGCGTCACAGGTACGAATAACATGAAATAATTAAAATAGCACTCGCAAATCCTAGTTGACGTTCCGCGGGCAACTGTTGCCAACGAGCCCGTGTGTGTCAAAAGATGCCTCGGACCAATCACGGCGCGCTGGCGCATCGGGCGATTTGTTGACCGATCTCTCTCAGTACCTTTAGTAGAGAAGACCACGTCTTGTTTTTATATCCAGGAATAGACTACAGGCTAAAGTGTGGGAGAGCCATGATTCGGCACAAATGCGTCGGTTTGACCGGAGTGATACCACAAGACCACAACCTCACAGAAAACCGACGTAAAACAACCACAGCGTTGTGTTTCGCCGTGTGAGTGAGGTTACCGGAGGCCAAACGAGTAGGCGGATTGCAACGGACCTTTTAGGGATTAGGGATTTGGAGATTTGGGGACTTGGGGGGGATTGGGGAAAGGGAAGGATTGGGCCTCCGGTAACCTCACTTACACGGCGAAACACAACGCTGTGGTTTTTTTCTGTGAGGACGCATGGCTCTTCCACACTTTACCATGATCAATGATCTCCATCTGAACGCAGTCAATCCTAAACAAAAGCTCCAGAGCCTGGTATTGGCTTAAGTCACACTACAATTTACGTTTATGCAAGAAAGAGTCGAGATCAGTCTTCCCTCTCACACGCACAACTCCCGTTGTTATTTCCTGTAGCAATCACTAATACTTGGAAAATATTTCTAGGTAAAATATAAGATGAAATGTCGACGCGATCAGTTGAATTGATTGATTTTGTGATTGAGGTTACCCGAGAACTTAAACTATGGCCCAGTTTCTTACATTTTACCAAAGCAGGGTACTGACGGTGCTAGCATTAGAAAATCTATATCTGGACGTCACACAAACTACACTTAACATTCTTGCTCTAAGTCTCTGCGTATTATACCACCGCATCCTAAAGGTCGTTTCTCTTGGACAGCTTCTGAAGGGCAAGTCTTCATCCCTCCTATGGATCCTCTATTCCCTTATCAACTAATACAAACATACACACGGCTGACAAAAAAATATTATTAATAGGTATTACTGAACTAGAACAATGTACCTAGAATAATGTAGTTTTAATTAAATTGTAATTGTGAATGCATCTTCCAGATTGGATGTTAGCGTATGATCACTGGTACCTCAGCCTACCGATCCAGCATTCTTTGTCAACGAGAGTATCTGTTACGGAGTGGGAGAAAGACTACGGCCTCCCTCTCCTCAGAAGCACAACAAACTAATATTCTATTGCATTATTACTTTATGGTATGTTAAAATACTTCAATGGTATAATGCAGTGCTTCTAAGACCTTAACCTTTATACAACGCAGAACAACAATACTTTAAGATCGATGCAGTCGATGAAAAGAGTGAGACAGACTAAGACTTCCATCTCACTTGTGCACCTCCCATTCACGTACATAATAATGTCCAGTAAATCCGCGATTTTATATCTGTAGAACCAGAAGATCTGGAGAGAGAATAAAACAAGACATTTCTTACAGATTACTTGTGTGTCTATGATATTTTTGGTTGTAAAAATTTCTCTATTAGGTATATCGGGTGATTGTGCTCATGATAACAAACAACTTCTTAACTTATTAGTTTTATTTTTATTACTACTTACTTTAATATTAACAAGCTCCTCGCGCCCACCTTGCGTCGTCCGATCAACTATTAGCGTTTGAACTTTGCACAGTAATTTTGCTATAGTATTCTTTAGGCGTAGTCCCGAAGTTATGGAAGACAGTTCTGGTCCACCCGATCCCTAAAAAAGTTGATCGCACAAATCCGTTCAATTACAGACCAATAGCCATAACTTCCCTCTTCTCGAAAATAATGGAGTCATCTATTAACTGCCAGCTCCTTTGGTACTTGGAGGATCATCAGCTCCTTAGTGACCGACAGTACGGTTTTCGTAAGGGCCGGTCCGCTTGTGATCTCCTAGTTTATCTGAA